CCTTCCCCTCATTTCTCTCGTTATTTTGTTTATCTGTTTCCTTGGAGGAACGTGTCATGGGAAATTAATTCCACTCCTCGAAAGAGGATTTCTGGGTACATTGTCAGACGTTTTGGGAATCTCTTTTAATTTAAAACTCTTTTCATTTAAAATGAAGTCTATTTCAGAATTGAATTTAAGGGAAGTGCATGTTAGAATCACCGCAACAGACTTTCAGCTACCATTTCTCGTTGGAGATTGATATTAATTGCAAAAATAAATAAATTTTTCAGGTGTGGTAAAAGAATTGTTTGTCCCCAAAGCAATATTGCTTAACAAGAACTATCTACGAATTCTCAAGATTTTTCATTTCAACGTTGATTCGTAGAGACTGTTGATATTTATGTAATTATAAGGGATGAGAATGCAGAAATTCAAAAATATATAAAATATCAACAATGATATACATTTTATAAAACATACTTTCATTTAAATCTCAATTATTTATATCAATCCATACAAATATAAATTTGCATAAATATCCGCAGTCTACCGATTAGTAACCACTATTGCATTCAATTTTCCACGGTTGCAAGAACCTATCAATGAAATATTTCCGATTTAATATTTCGGTTGAATGTTTTAGATTTAGTATAATTGTCAGCCTCGTACGTCCAAAACGTCCAAAAATGACACTCTCTCAAAATACAGTTATTAAGATGATCGTTGCATTCGATTTGCGATTTGTATACTTACATTTTAAAGCACTCGGTGATTTTGATTACTGACATTGCACGCTACTTTTGACATTCGCCGTGTAGCTATTTGTATAGCGATTTGAATAACAAATGCTTCCCCGTGAATACGTCTCCCTTTTGTTTCATTCTACTTTCCATCCTCTCTTCTCTTTACTCCGAAATGTACGCCGCATAAAAGAACACTGGGCTGAGTTATGGCTGTCGGACCAGTCGGATAGAGCCTTCGAGGATCCCAGTCAGACATTCAGCGGTTTGAAAAACGCAATGTAAATGCGAGGGAATGACGTAATCGAAAAATATTACTCGCTGGGTTAAATATCAGGTATGGAAATTAATTCTGGGCGTTTACAATCCAATCGTTAATAACCGTAGTTTTAGTAAAAACATTCAAGTACTTTATAATACAAGTTTAAAAAAAAAAAATAAATCTGTGGTTATACGGGGTTTCAAAATTGTAACACTTGGATTTAATAAATTTTTAAATAATATTTTAGAGATGTTTCGATTGATATAATTTAATTAACTTTTACAGGGTGCAAATAAGCTTTTATAAGAAATATTGAATGTTAATTTTTACGTGGGAGTATGATCCTGAGCTGGGCGAATTTTAGCTCTTGATGTATTGTGCCAGAATTTTTAACGAACGCGTGCTTGTTAATTTCTCGTTTTGAAGACATACTCTGTTTCATAATAATTGAATTAACAATTTAGCAATATCTTCCCAAGACTACATTCTGCCAATTTTATAAATACTATTAACAAAATATTATTAACCCAACGGGGACCTAAAATACATATCAAAACATTATAAAAACAAAACGTCTTGATCGTGTTTTTAATATTTCGATATATTGTTTACGACACGATATCCATGATAATAAAACCCGATCAATAATGTCTGCGACTTTTATCGATTTAAATTAAAGCTATTGTACGAGTATCATAATTAATAACCGTGAGAATATATATGTAACGGATTAAAGCGTAAAATTATCCACGCATAAATTCGCGAAACGTTGTTAATATGTAACGCAAGCACGACCAATGTAAATCGACATTCGGCGCCAGCGACCGTTTCGCGATCTTCATTATGAAATACGCAACAGATGTTGCACGACACGTAACGAAAATATGGAGCATTAATCATACGAGTTGTCGCATATTTAGCGCGGCGTATTTAACGTCCGTTTCGATCATTTCTGCTGAATTATGAATCGACGTTTCACGACGAAAACGTTGACGAAGTGTTTCGTGTAATACACGGAGGAATATTGTATATCAGTCGTAGACTTTCTCGACATTTTTTCTTATTTAACCATAGTAAGCTGTTTTGGGTTTGAACTTACCAAGCACGAGATGAATTATTTATCGGTACTACTATTTTTGGAAAAGAATTGGTAAAAAATAGAGATTGAGGTATTAGGACAAAAATCTGATGAGAATATTTAATATTTACTCAAGTTTTTCATTCGAATTCATTTTTTTTTACACTTAAATTTCATAATTAATTTGCATTGGTCTTCAATGAAAAGGATAGTGACCCATATATGGGCGATGTGGTGAAATGCATTGTAGGAGAAATGCAATATTTTCCTCTTTAATTTTGTTCAATATTCAGATGCAGTTACAAAAATAACGATTACGATTGCTTCCATTTTTCCATTAATTTTCGTCTTGTAAAATTAAGAAATTTTACAGGGAAGATTAAAATCGTTAAACATAAATCGCAGTCACTTTAGTATAGGTAAATCATTAATTTACACAAGGAATGGAGCGACAGCGACAGTATTATAAACTATCATCATTTTCTTATAAATTTCAAGTATATTAAAACATTTTTATTCTATATTTCATGGAACTCCTTCACTCGTAATGAGACGATATCGTGGTGTCGGTCTTAAAATAATATTTTCACCTTTACTTCTCATCTTCTCTAGTTTTACCAAACTCAATTTATTCGCAACGAGCTGTCCCTCCTTATATCATTAACCTTTTGGTTGTTGGCCTACAACCACGATCAGGACTCCTGGTAAGGAATTTGGCCCATAAACAATAAGCACGAGCCTGACTCGTGGTACTTTATCCGGGCTTCCTACCTTCCTGTTTATTATAGCTCGAGTAACCGGGAGATAGAACAAGGGTTTAATTAATACAATACATAATCTCACAGTTCCTCCCTTATTTTTGTAACCCCTTTCAAATTCACAAACACTATTTAAATTTATTTCCTCCGCCACCTCCAGAATCGATTCCTCCACTTCCTTTCTAAAAATCCCCATCACGCACGCATGATATCGACGCGTCGAGACTCGTACCAAAATATCTGTCCACGATATCCCCGAATGCTCACTTAAATACTCCATCGAACGATCTCGCCTCGAGTCGGTCTGTTATCGCGGTGTCAGCCACCATTGTCCCACGAGGACGTATTTTATCGGCTATGTACGGCAGCTGCCTTGGCGTATTAATTTATTTCGCGATCTGAAAAGACGTGGAAATTCACCAAGTCCACCCCTAACCTCTCCCCCTCCCCTGCACACCCTGGCCCATCGATCGACTTTATGCGCGAAACGCGGCACGGGCTCACAATGGCGTCGTCTGCGGCAGCGGTTCCATTGTGCTCCCCATAAACCCCCCGTTAACCAACGTTGAAACGGGATCTGTCAAAATCAGCTGACTACCAATTCGTTCGCCAGACTCCTCTTGGCCGCGCGTCTGCCATCGGCGTCGCTCAGCATCTGTCAGCAACGACAATATGTATAGTGAAACGACTACCGCGTGCCCGATCGATTGGTCTTGTCCAAACTGCGCTTCAATCGTAACTCGCTTGAATTAACCATCGGGCGCAGGTTCGATTAATCTCGGTACTTCGTTACTCTTTTTGTATCGGCGGTTGTTTAACCGTGGGATGACGGGAAGGTTTCCTACGGTGGGACGCGCGAGACGCAGCTGAATCATTCTTTAAATTCTTTGTGGGAAGTGGATTTCGATACTATCGAATGGTAGGTACGTGTTTAGATTAGGATCGTCTTCGAGGTATTGTGAAAGTGGAGGGTAGTGTAGGGGATGTTCGTGTGTTTGAATTCATACTGAAAGTGTGATACCGAGGTAATTAAGTTGAATCGTGTATTTCAAACTTTTTTTATGAAATCACTTGATTAGGGAACAGTGATTTTGAACTCTGATTACAAAGGTATAATTGACTACCGAGATAGTGAACATGATTCCATCCTTCGAACTTCTTTGAGACTTCGATTTTATTGGAACTTCTTGGGACAATTATTGTAACAGAGTTATTTTGAGTGCTTAATTAATTTGCATCTCCTGCCTCTAATTAGAAGGATATTGTTGATTACCGAGCTCGTAAATTTAATTCATGTACCTATTTCAAACTTCTTAAAGTCACTTGATTATTAACCATGATTTTGCCACAATTTTTAGGGACATTATAAGAAAAAATTATTTCAGTTGACTATCGAGTTTGCGTTTCCTTATTTCAATTACAAGGATATAGTTGATTATCAACCCGGTCAAGACCGATATACTTCAAACTTCTTTATAAAGTCACTCAGTTATTAATATACATCTCATAGTGTATCTTAAATAGTTCTTTTATTTTTTTTTTAATTTATAGCTTTTGCAAGAATAAATGGTAGCAATCGTAATCGTTACTTTTGTAACTGCTTCAGAATATTGAACAAAATGAAAGGAGAAAATGTTGCATTTCACCACATCACCCATATATGGGTTACTATCCTTTTCACCGAAGACCAATGCAAATTAATTATGAAATTTAAGTGTCAACAAAATGAATTCGAATGAAAAACTTGAGTTTCGATGAAGTTACCAAAATAAATATCACAATAAATGTTTACGTAGTTTCCGATAGTCTGTAAACAAAATTAAATCACAGTAGAAATTGTCTAGAGTATTAGTCTGGCTGTTACCTTCTTAATTGTCCAAACCATATCTTTATTCATTATCAGAAAAGAATAATTCAGAAAGGAATTAAACAATTTCATCAAAATTGAACTGGTAAAGAATTCTAGAGTTATCTAAAAGAAAGAAATTAAACAAATTTATCTTGTGTGGTATACTTCTGGCAAAATTTAAGGTTCTACAAAATAAGTTGGCAGAAGTACCACGTGTCATTGGCGAAAAAAATATTTGTAACGCTCGCAGAAAGTGGACGAAATACGTTTTCAGCGGAAACGTTCGGCGCCCCATGAATTTAATAATAGGATCGTTTCACAAATAACTCACCCTGTTCGGTTGAACGTGCCAGCTACGCCGTTTTCCATGCCTCTGTATACCGTCTTCAGAAATGGTTAGGTCAGCCCTGCTGCCAACCAAACAACCCCCCGTATCATATTGGCCAACCAGAAGTCTCAATCGATTTCCTGGACAGATGCCCTGAACAGAAGAAGAAATGTGAATAGTAATAGCCTAACAAGGAGAAATATAGCGCGTTAACCCTAGGACAACCTCTGTCATGTTCCCCTCGGTTCGTTTGAAATCTACTTAAATATAAAATCAATCAAAAATTAGGTCTGGGTTAAATCTGAGAAGCTTCTCATTTATTTTTATTTAACTACAGCATCATGATTACATTTCAAATTAACGACTCGGTATCTTCTTATTTTAATCATTTATTATTTAGTAATGCTATCGTCCAAAAAAAAATTATTATCAGAAAATGTAGTATAAGGCGGTGAAATAGAAATCCGATGAGAAACTTTATTTTTACAACAGTGACTAAAGAAAAATGTGTTAATAATTAACTGACTTTAGAAATGAGTAAGAGAAATAAGATAAAAATTTAGTTTAACATTTTCTCATTCACGGCTTCATTTTCGAGAACGTTAATTTCAAAGTTTGTTTCTCGTTAAGAGAATTCAAGCTAAATAACATTTATTAATAACAGTGAAAGTACACTTTCACTGGCGAATGTGAATCGAAACCATTACGCATTCATTAATCAGATTAGTAACGGTAAGCATTCATTAGTAAGTTATATTGTATATGGAGTGAAAGTGTGAACTTGGAGAATATGTACACTTCCCTCGAGATTCTAGTGACACCTAATCAGGAACTAATGTAACTACCAGTCTCACTTGAGAATGCATACGCCCACTTCACGCTTCGACTCAAACGCATACATTCACCGACCTTCCGCTTTTACGATAATATCGATCCTGACACTCTGCTCAAGATGTGAATCATGTAAGTTTCGAGTCAGCAGTTTACAGAATAAATGTGACTCACCGTGTACATTCGACTAATAAAGTGAATGATTAATTTCAAAATCGCGAAAAAGTCCTCCAGACATGTCGGTTCGCCGCTGTCAACCACGAAAAGTTTGAATTGTCACAAATTTCCAAACAACGAAGCCTTCACCGATTCCACGAGCATCGTAAACGTACACGTAGGCAGACATGTGCGCAAACAACGAACAAACGAGGGTTCATTTTCGAAACACCGAGCAGACGGCGTTCTGTGTACCCAGCTCTACAAAACTGTTCATTTGCCGGGGCATAAAGTCGTTCGAAAACGACAATGCGTCGGGACAAACCCCGGTTCCATTACGAATTCTATTGACTACCGTACGGAGAAAGGAGATCCCGTGTCTACGGTTCGATCGTTGTCCATTCGGACACCCGTTACGTGGCGTGGGCGCATCTGCCGTTAATTTTCGCGCGAGACAAATCGATTCGAAGTCGATGACGTGTCCCGCGAGTTAAGGCGATCGAAACGGGACGACTTTGAACGATCTTCGATTTATCGAGAGTAATGGGGACCGCGGACGATTTATTTTACGATGAGTACAGTTGTCCCACTCTCGTTCGATACAGTCGTATCGCGCGGACAGGTTGGGACGCTGTTACAACCCCCACGCGGTATTATCAACGTTCGTTGGGAGTTTCTGGTCGATTAGGTTCGAACTAATATGAAACGGAGTAGGGGGGATTTGACAGAATTAATGATTTGGAAAAAGGCACATTTTGCTATAGATTACAGAATATATATTCCGTGGATTATAGAGCCAACAGATTATTTATAGATTTTATTAATTATAGGTTCCATAGATTGTAGATTCTATAGATGGTAGACTATGGATTGTAGATTCTATGGATTGTAGATTCTATAGATGGTAGACTATGGATTGTAGATTC